AGACAAAAAATTTACTTAATGAAAAGCACAACTCATCTCAAGAAGGAAATATCGATACCAGCTGTGAGCAGAAAATGAGGGGATTCCTTCCAGGGAACATCTGAATTGCAACCCACTGCCTTTCCAATATTTACTCTGGACATAAAGTCTCAAATACTTTTCCGAGGATCTCATTTTTCTCCAGGAGGAGGAGGTGAGAGGAGTCTGGGCAGCGCAAAAGGAGAGCCTGGCCGAGCCTAGAAATGTACAAACCCAACAGACCTAGATCTTCCCTGACAAACTTAGCTCCTTTCTGGGTGGAGCTGGGAGCAGTCTCCTTTCCTCGAGGGTCCTGGCTACCGAGTGCTAATAAGATCCTGACTCCAAGTGCCATTGGTCAATAGATAAATGACAGCCCGGCGTTGCTGACTCAAGCTGTCTGCAGTGACACTTTCAGCCACTTTCTATATTCTTTCAGTATATTCTGGTGAAGCAGTGGGATGCTAAGGTGAGAAGACGTGGCCTTCTTAAAGAGGATTTTTAGATTACCAGCTCTGCTTTACTCCCTTTGAGAACGATCACATGCTCTGGAATGAAGACTTGGCCTTTAGCCGTACTTGTGGATGTTCAGAACCTGCAACAAAGCATTTATACCCTCTTCACTCACAGTCTTACCCCCAGACCCCGCTAGGCCCACTGGCTAAGATAAGATAGACAGGGAAAAACTTTTCATATACAACTTCACACTTAGGTATATATGAATGTAACATAATACTACGATAGAATACAATGCAACACAACTGGGAAACCACCTCCAGTGCTAGCAAGAAGTAACAGGTTGTTCCAGCTTTTCTCCTATATACAGATGAGTAACAGCTATTCATTCATTTAATCATTCATTTACTCAATCATCCATGCATCCATCCATCCACCCATTTATCCATCCATCCACCCACCCATCCTACTGAGAGGCAGCAGAGCAAATGCAATAAACCAAAGCACAAACATCATGCCAGAGTTCCAGCTTCACCACCTACTATGAGGCTTTAGGTAAACTATTTAATCTCTTTAGGCCATAGTTTCCTCATCCCTAAAATAAAGACAATAATAATGCCTATTATTAACATAGTCACAATTATTAAATGACTAAATTAATGTGGGTGCTTGGCAAAGAATAAGCCCTCGAGGGTTAATCACTATAATGGCAGTAATTATAATAATTATCCTGACTATTAAAAAACACACTCATCCACAGCTATGTGCCAGGCTCTGGATGAGGCATCAAATAATTTTAGCCTTCTGATTTTGCAAGGATCTTTAGCAGGGCATTGGATTTCTCATGGCAACACCTTCAATATAAACTCCCTCATTTGCCAGGGATGAGAGTGGGCCTCAAGCACCAGAGCCATTTACAGCATGAGACTGCCCCCCTCCTCAGAGCCATGTTTAAACAATTATGAGCATTATGTTGCAGGTACCCATGGCCATAGGAGGCCAGCCTAGCACGGTGCTCATCTTGCAGAGGCGTCTTTTGTGTGGGTTTTGGATTACAGCTGGGCAATGCAAAGCCATAGAGTGAGTGGCAAAACGAGTTTTCATAAGCTCAACCTGTCACAAACTAGGCATGGGCTCATGCTGACATCCCCACAGTAAGATTAAACAGCATGCTTCGTCAGGCACTAAATACTAACACAGCTCCGACGTCAGGGGGACACTGATTAAAACTGATGTCAATAATTTATGAAACACAATATGGTCTTCAGATGCTCTTTTGAAAAAAAAAGAGAGAGAGAAAGAGGAGAAAAAAGGGCCTAGCAACCCAGGTGGTTTAAAATTGTTCATGCATTTTCTCTTGAATGTAGACGCCCCCACCATGCACTGGTGCTTCTTTACACAGGGAATGTAAATGCACATGTGTATAAAAGCATGTGAACACAGCTTTTATGATACATATGGGCAGAAGAAAGTATTTGGTTCTTCTACCAAGAACTGTCGAGGCCGTAATGTTATACATAGTAGTCTTGTCTCTCATATTGTTTCTAGAATTTTTTTTCAAGAAGAAATCCAAAATTCCATTAAAAGTAAAATTAGGCTTCACAAGAGTTCACATTTATTTTGTAGAGAAACTGACCTTGAAGTAACAGCGGAAATGAAAGCTGGGGCACAGAAAGCATACAGGGTATGTGCATTTCTTAGTAATCTGTAAATGCATCAGCCCTATGCAAAAAGACTATTCAGTCAAATAACACCAACATGTTTTAAATTTCTAGGGTTATTTTTAGGGGGAAGTGAAGATTAATGTAGGGAAATACGCCATTTTAGTCTACTATAAATCATGTCTCATTATTTTATAAAGGCAAAAACAGGATGACACAGTGATAATGCCCCATTTTTATCAGGACTGATTTTTGGAATTAAAAAAATACACTTTACTATACCTTAGTTGTAGATAGTCTGGGTAGCTTGACTATGTGTTAACGGTGTGAAATTCACAAGATGGGACTAGGTGTGGAGATGTGAGTCTCTGATAGTATAAAGTTAGTGCTCGAAGGATTTATTAATGCTTTTTCCTAGCACAGTACCCCTCAGTATCTCAGAACACCTGTCAAATACTAATTCTTTCACATATCTCCACTACAGGACCTTTTCATAAAAAGCTCGACCTTTAATTGTAAATCACTCCTAAATTGTCCTTGCTGGCTTTCTCTTTTACAGAATGATGGAAAAATCACTAAGACTTCAATTAAGACTTTATGGGAACTTCAATCTGATATTCCCAGTTATATCTACAAGGTATCAGAACATCTATTCAAAAAGGAAACTATAAATAACTTTAACAGAGTTGAATTGGCTTAGCTTTAATGAAATGACTGAATAATTGACAAGATTTAAAGATACTTTAACTGCTCAGAATTAAAATAACTTTAGTAAAAACCAGAAAAAATATCTTTAGCCGATCATTTGTCATGTAGATTATGTACTTATTAGGCTTAATTAAACTTTTTGAACAAAAACACTTGCTAATTACTAGTTAATATGTTGATTGCTCAATTTGGCAAAAAAAAGAAAAAGGTCAATCCAATTTGTGTACATAGTGCTTTGGTGGAAAGACGAAATATCCTAAGCTATAGATTATTTCAAGCGCTCAGCTATCCTTGTAAGAAACAGCAAGTTATGTCTTCAGGCCCAAAGTGACAGGGAGAGGTGGGGGTGGTGAGAATCTGAACAATGCCAAGGCTAAGAGGAATCTTGAAGCCAGTAACATTTTTCCAGGACATTCAGTTCATTCGCCTCTATGTATTCACTTGCATTTGTCCAATTAGGCCCAGTTAGGGAGCATACAAAGTCATCTTTCATATGCATATACAAACTAAAACTGATAGCAAAACCCTGGGAATCCCTTTAAATGCCAATAAAGGGTTTTTACGCACAAAAGAAAGAAAAGAAAAGAAGAAAGGAAGGGAACAGATGAGATGGGAAAAACCAACATTTCTGAGGGAATTGAGCAGATCAAAGGAACTTTATTCTCCAAGACCACTAAGTCCGGGTGTAGCTGCTCTGCAGAATCCCAAAACGTCTCTTGAAACTGGAAGCCAGTTCTGTCCCTTGAAAGATAGGGATGAACAGTTAGGTCTGCAAAAGCAGGTCACGTTGAGTAAAAAATGGAGGCTGCTTCATGCAACAGGAGGCGCGGGCGTCTGCAGACCAGGGCGCCTGCCTGGGCCTCTGTGCAGACCCGACCCTCCAAGACATGTTTTCCATTCGCTTGCTCAAAAGTCTACATCCGCAGTCATGAGGCACAAACTATTCGACAACAACATGACACAATTAATCAGAACCAGCCCTTAAAACGTGTGTTTGTGGGGACCAGCAAACTGCAATGTGCTTCAGAGGGTGAGGCAACTGAAGAGACTCATGCTGGCTGCTTGGGGTTCGGGGGAGGGATGCGGGGGAACCCTATATGTTCACAAAAGATGCTCACCAAATGGCACACTGATGGACTAAAGTGATTTTCATCACAATCTATGTGAAATTTGGGAATTTACCTCTTACACTGAAAAACTACTCTGTCTCTCTCTCTCTCCCTCGCTCTCTCTTTTCTGGGGAGTAACAAATAGATGCCAGAGAAATTTCTGCAGCAACAAAGTCGTACAATTCAGAAGTAGAATGTATGTATCCTTTTTTATCCTTTTTATAGCATCGTTTCTGACCGAGGCCTCTTCACCAGTGCCGGGTTTTGACAGATTTCTCTTTCCGGAATTAAACCTTTATTAAAAATCCAGACGCTGGGCCCTTAGTTAATTCAAAACTGTTCAATTTCACCAAACCCTGAAGCTAAGAAAAAAATCTGGTATACTTCCTTCTGGGGGGACCAGGAATGAATTAGTTTAAAATAGTTGGGGAACCCTCCTTTGTAATCTGTAGATAGTAATTAATTGAAATCACATCACTCTTCTTTCGCTAACACAAACACGCTGTTCAAAAGAGAAAAGGAAAATTTTTTTCAAACCATGAAAAGACAAATGGAGGGTGCAAGAGTGACACTGGCCCCAAACTGCAGAGTGCTCTGCCTGCTCCCAAGGGATTTATAGTTATGGAGCTGAAACTTCCCGGGAACAGGGCCGGGGTCCCCAGCCGTGGGCCCAGCTGCAGCCCTAGGGAAAGGGGGGTGGGGCAGAGGTAGCAGCCAAACGGAGAAGGAAGCAATGAAAGTGTTTCCGCAAATTTTCTTCAGACCACTAACCCCTCTCCAACCCCCGGGCAGCATTTCTCCCACTGTTTCTCGGCTTTGCAGAAGGCACAGGGAGCAAAGCCGGGCGTCCACCGCTAGCACCGGGCGAGAGTGGACACGCTCTCAGCCCTCTCGGGTCCCCGTCATCCCGGAACGCGCTTCCTAGGCTTCCCGCCACGTCCCCGCAAACCAAAACTTTCAGACGCGGCCGCTTCTGCTATCCCCAGAACCCACCGCCGCGTTACCGCGCCCCCACCCACCGCCCGCGGAGCCGCAGCGCCTCACTCACCCACGCACTCGTTGGCCTCGCGGGCCGTGGCGCGCTGCCAGGGCCGGTCGTAGTGAAAGGGTTTGCAGCGGTCGCATTCCGGGCCCGCCGTATTGTGCCTGCAGTCGCATACCAGGCTGTCGTCGCGGTCGCGCACGCAACGAGCCGCGTGGCCGTTGCACTTGCAGCGGCCGCCCACCTGCAAGTCGGACACAGCGTAGAAGTACGAGTCGCGCGCCAGCTCCGAGTCATCCTCGTTCTCGTCGCCGAACGTGTGCAAGCGGCTGAAGGCCACACGGATGTCTGTCGCCGTGACCCAGTCCTGCAGTACCGGCGAGTTGTCGAAGTCGTGCGCCGAGGGTCGCCCGTCCAGCGTGCTGAAGGCGATGAGGCCGCCGGAGAGCGGGCGCATGTCGGTGTGCGAGTCGGTGCACACGGCCTCCTGCTCGTTCTGCTTGGTGATGGGCGCGCGGTGCGGCCGGTTGTACATCTTCCGGCACTGCGTGGAGTAGAACTGGAAGGGCACCCACGTGCGCCCGTAGTCCATGGACTTGTAGATGGCCATCGACTCGGGCCGCGGAGAGCAGAACTGCAGGCTCACGTAGGTCACCTCGAACTTCTTGCCGAGCGACAGCGTGAGTGTGACGTTGTGCGGAAACTGCAGGAAGTTCTCCGACTGCCAGCACGTCAGGTTGTGCGGGTTGTTGAGGTCGGTGAGGAAGGCCGGCGGATGCGCCTTCTTGGGGTCCGAGGCGTTGCAGAGGTGGCAGGAGCGTAGCCGCTCCTCGCCGCGCTCGCTCACCACGCAGTAGCGCGCCGGGGGCCGGCCGCAGGTGCTGGACACGCGCACGTCCTTTCCGAAGGCCGCGTTGACAAAGTCCGGGATGCAGCGGCGCGGGTGGCCGTTCTCGTCCGAGCAGGGGTCCGGCTGCGCCGCCTGGCCCGCGAACATGCTGAGCCCGGGACCGCCGCGTACCGCGCCCACCAGGCAAGCCAGCGCGACCAGCGCGGCCAGCGCCTCCCACACAGCGCGCATCATGCTGCGTCCAGCTCGCCCCGGCCCCGCCGCGCCGAGGAGTCCGTGAGCCCGCCGCAGAAGGCGCCTGCGGAGAGAGGGAGCTGCGCTCAGCCAGCCCGCCCCGCGTCCCCCGGCCCTCGGCGGAGCGGCGGCCAGGGGCACGGGCGAATGCCAGGCACCAACCCCGGGGCGACGGCCCGTCTTGCTCCCCCGAAGTCTCGGGGACAGACGGGCCGGGGGATCTCAAGCCCGCACCGCCCGTGCCCCTTCTTCCCCGCCCGCGAGCCGGGGTGGCGGGCGAATGCTCGGCTTCTCCGCCACCGCCGCCTCCACGCAGCCCGAGGGGCATCCCCGCGCTGACCGCCCGTCCGCAGCCAACCCGCCTTGCACCCCGAGTCTTGGGCGCAGGAGAGCTCGGGGTCCCCCAGCCCCGCACATCCCGTGCCCCCTTCGTCCCGCTGGGCTCCCTCGCTGCTGCCCCTGATCGCGTCCCTGCCGGGGAGACCGTGCTCGGGACTTTACCTCTAGCGAGGGCAAAAGAGAAAGAAAAGTTTGCCTGGCCCTGGCCGGGGGCCCGCGCGCCGACGGCGGACAGCCTCTCGCGGGCGCGTCCTGCCTCAGCGCGGGCTTGCCAGCTCCA